GCCCCCCACCAGGCAGCGCTCATGGTTGGGGGAGGGGGGCGCGGGGACGGGGGGGGGAGGGCAGTCCCCAACGCACGCAGGCCGCCACTGCCGCACCGCACGCGACGATGTCGGCAAGCGAGCCGCGCGCCAGAGGCCACCCTTGCCCAGAGGGCCGACGGCGCGAACGACTAGAAGCAGCAGCAAGGGTGACCGCAGCCCCAGGGCCAGTCTCTCTGCGGCATTTTCCGCCGTGGGACCGTCGGAGAAGCGATCTTGGGCCCGCTCGGGCGGTGGGAGCGCCCAGGGCCGAATTTGTTCCGGGGGGGGCTCTTTATAATAATAGTAGAAGAGGAATATATATATATATATATGTATATATATAATGTGTATATATAGATCGATAAGTGAATATATGCTATATATGCATGCGTACACATATACGGTTGTAATTATGTATGGTTGTAGGTATGTATGCATATGATCACATACGTATGTAGATGTGTATGCATGCATGTAGGTATGTGTATACGTGTGTACGCATGCATGTATGTATGTATGTATACATACATGCATGTATGTATGTATGCATGTATGTATGCATGAATGTATGTATGTATGTATGGATGTATGTATGTATGTGCATGTGCATGTATGCACGTATGCACGTATGCATGTATGTATGTGTGTATGTATGTATGTATGTATGCATGCATGCATGCATGCATGCATGGATGTGTGTATGTATGTATGTATGTATGTATGTATGTATGTATGCATATAAGTATGCAGTGATGGATATATGTATGCACGTATGTATGTTTGTGTGGATGTGCATATCTATTTTTTATATGTATATATGTATATGTAGATATGTATGTATGCATGTATGTTTGCGTATATGTACATGCACGTATGCATGAATGTGTGCATTATGCGTATACATGTCTGTAGGTCTGTATCGCGCTCTGTCTCCCTCTTCCTCCCGTTCTCTCTCGTTGTTCTCTCTCTCTCTCTCTCTTTCTATCTCTCACTCTCTCTCCCTCTCTCTTCTCTCTCTCTCTCTCTCTCTTGTTATTTCTCTCTCACTCCCTCGCTATCTGTCTATATATATATATGTATGTGGGTATCCTCTCTCTCTCACACTCTTGCGCAGCGCAGGCCGCCCCTTAGCCCTTCGGATCGGACGAAAATTGGGATAGGTGTTCTGATTGGCCCACCCAGGGCCGCTGCGCTCTGCCCCCCCCCTTCGCCCCCACCCCCAAGGGGCTGGTTTCCCCCTACACCCTCTGTCCTTCGCCCTCATACCCCCGACCCTCCACCCTCCTCCCACGTCCCCCTCTCCCCTCCTTCTTTATCCAATCCTGGACGTCTTGGACATGAGCGTCCGCAGTGTGAGCTCGGTTCAGTGATGAGGCGTTTAGCGGTTGGCTCGCAGTCTACGACAGCGCCCAGGTGGGTGCGGCAAACCGCCGCAGGAAATCATCTACAGGATTTGTTTTTTTTTGCTTCCCTTCAACTCATATCTGCTTTCGTTGAACTTACTGTGTCGTTACGGCGAGGTAGGCGTCGAGCCAAACTGGGTGGATGCAAATGGTCTCGGGCCGGACTAGCTGCATACAGCCAGCTTGGCGCAGAACTCTGCATGTAGCCAGTTCCGCGCCAAACTACATACATGCAGCTAGTCTGGCGAGCGACTAGTTCTGTGCAGACGGCTTCGCCGACGACAAGTCTTGTGTCATGCCAACTTGGGCCAACGACATGTGTTCGGATGCTCCAGTTCTCCCAGTAGCTGCGATGTTTCGCACATCCACCTCATGCCAGCTAATTTCCAACCCTTGCCTTTACTATCCCTCTCGTTCGTCTTCCTCGAACCTGCTCCTCCTCTTCGGAGGAGGGAGGATCACCACCGCCCTCCTCCGCCGCTTTCTCGACATGTCCACCCCCTCGTGAGCCGGTGCCCCAGAACCCCAGGAGGCGGTGGACATGGACGGTGCCGGGGCCCCGGGCGGGGGGGGGGCCCAAAGATACCCACACCCATCGTCTCCTGGGACCCTGGGACACCGGCTCCCGAAGCGGTGGACATGTACTAACCCATGCCTAGCAACAAAGCGTTGCCGCCAGGCACGCGGAGGAGAAGCGAGACGTGCCGTTCTTCATGTACCTGGCGTACTCCGCCGTGCACACCCCGCTGCAGGCGCCCGAAGAGGCGTTGGCCCGCTTCTCTGGCGTCAAGAACCAGAAGCGGATGAAGTGCTCCTCCTCCTTCTCCTCCTCCTCCTCCTCCTCCCCCTCCTCTCATCTCCTCCTCTCATATCATATTCCTCCTCCTCCTCCTCTCATCTCCTCCTCTCATCTCCTTCTCCTCTTTCTCCTCCTCCTCCTCCTCATGCTCCTCCTCCTCCTTCTCCTCCTCCTCCTCTGCCTCCGCCTCCTCCTCCTCCTCCCGCTCCTTCTCTTTCTCCTCTTATCTCCTCCTCTTCCTCCTCCTCCGCCTCCTCCTCCTCTCCTCCCCCTCCCC